GATGGAGCCTAAGAGGGTCCTTGTGTGAATCTTCAGAGACAGGCAGTCACGCAAAGGGGCACATCGTGTTAGCCCAGCTCTGTGCATGTCCCGGGTCACCTGGGAAGGACCACCAGGGGCCAAGGGTCCAGGGGCCTCTGCCCTACATGGAGGTTAGAATAGGCCTGGCTGCCCTCCCGACATCCCAAGATACTGTCTCCAGAGGCCCCTGTTGAGGTTAGCATCCTAACGGCAAACGTGTACTGGGAACTTACCTTGAACCAGGGCCCGTGCCGGCATTTACAAGCATTGTCTCGTTCAGTGCCTCAGCTATTCTAGAAGGTAGGCCCTATTATATCCCCACTTTATAGATGAGCAAACTGAGGCTTAGGGAGCATGAGGGACTTGCCTAAAGTCACACAGCAAGTGCGTGCATGCTCACAGAGTCCAGACAGGTCTGTCCCACCCCGAAGGCTGAGCCGCAGCTACGCATTTAGCTGCCTCCACAGCCCCTCCCAGGCCTAGCAGAACTCTGCAGGGTGTTGGGTTTAGAGGGCCCTTCCACGTCCATCATCTTTCTTGACTCTCCCATGATAATGACGGGCAGGCATTGCCCGCACCATTATAGCCCAGTAAAGTGAGCCCCAAGAGGCCGTGGGCTATGGGCATGTGGTCCTTTGTCCTGTCGCATCCTCTCTTTAGCTTGGCTCTGTGCAAGGGAGGGCTGCTGGGCAGGAGAGGCTGGGCCCAGGCCACTGGAGGTGCTGGGGTGCCGCCCAGGGGATGGGAGTGCATTTTGCCCGAAAGGGGGCAGTAGCTCTCCAAAAGAGGAGAAAGACACAGAAGGGGGCTTTGTTCCCTTCAGACTGTCCAGGATCCTGTGCTGCCATCAGACGCCGTCCGGGGGTAGTGGTGTTCTCGGGGAGGCGTGGGTGGGAGCGGAGACTCAGGCGGATGCAGACTGGAGCCCTGCTGTGGATTTGCGGCCTTCTTCCCAGCCAGGCCTCAGCTCCCAGGAGAAGAGCGGCAGCCACGCTGAGCCTCCAGGCTTTGATGGCAATGGTGCCAGTTGCATGACCCCTATTAAACTCCATGAGGCAAAGGATAGTATGTTTTGGAAGTCACCTCCAGGCTGGCTCCAGCCTGCCCTCCCCTTGTAAATTCCACAAACATCCAGGAGATAAAAGAGGGGGATCTCTCCGAGGCAGAGCATGCAGCTCTTCAAAGAACACTTTCAATCGAAAATGGGGAGGAGAGAGGTCTTTCTCTTGGAGGGAATGTATTTATATACCCCTGTAGGTGTGCATGCGCGTGCACACACACATGCACACACACCCAAGACCAGGAACACACCATGATGCATACAGAACTCCCTGCCAGTTCTCTTCAGCCAGCCCTCCTTCCCTTCCTCTGGCTCTGGGGCTCCCCACCTTTTCTGGTTTCCCAGACCTGCTGTCCAGATGGCGTTGGACCTTCCTGACTTCTCTGGATTTCTTTCCCTAAAATAAAATGTCCCTGTCCACTGCTGCTCTTTGCTGACTGGTCTGAGAGTTTTTCCCTCTTCAATCGTTCCAGGGCATTCAGTTTTGCTGACCACCATCATCTTCTTGAGCAAACTAAGGAGCCCTTGGAAGTGAGCGCCACCTCTTCTCGCCAAACAAAATGAAAAGTGTGGGGTTTGGGAGCTGGAAAGGAGAGTGTAGAGGGCATTTGGTTGCACCGCTTTACCCTACAGGGGGGATGACCCTTCAGCCGGGAGAATGGAGACACTTGCCCACGGTCCCCGTGAGTTTGTGGCCTGGCTGCGACAGGAGCCAGATTTTCTGATGTCCTGTCTACCTGCCCTTTTCTGCCGGAGAGACGCAGAAAGGCAGGGATGAGCCTGCAGCGTGCCCACACTTCCCTCCTTCCCCTACACCAACAGTTGCTAACATTCCTACACTCCCAGCCCCCTTTGGTTGTTTGTTTGGTTTCATGGCATATTATCTCCTCATCTAAGACTGCTTTATAGCATAATGTCCTTTTAACTAAGGTGAAATAAAATGAATGCACATCTTTTGGAATAACCCGATCCCAAGAGGTTGTCGCTAATACTTCGGGGTGCACTGAAGCCAAGGTAGATAATTACTATTCTATACTGAGTTGATTAAATAGGAAAAAACAACCACCACCAAACTGCCATGGTTTCTTTGAGCTTGCCACTGCTTTTTCCCCTCTTGTCCCACCTTCCCTGCTTCCCCTGCCCCCAACTTACTCTTGAGAGGGGGTCAAAAGAAAGAGGGACCAGCTGGTGGTGATGAGTCAGCAGTGTTCACATGAGGCAGTGGTTGGTTCTGCTTGGCCCAGTTTGGGAAGCGTCTCTCTGTGAGTAGACAGAGATGCTCTGTCTGGACCTGGGGAACACACTCTCCTGGATGTGTGATCATTCTGCACGCACCCAGAAAGGGTCCCCCAGGGCGCTGTCCATTTCTAGCATTCTCTCCATATGGAGGCTTTACCAGAATATCACTGTTGGCCAACTTTGATAAACCTGTGATTACCAAATTTCAATCCAAAGTTTACCCTTTATGGATGAAAGCTGTTGGTGAGGAAAAGAAGCTTGGGGGTAGAGTTGTTGAAGGTGGTTAATTTGGGGAGGATACATGTTTTTCAATAACCAGAGAAAGGACTGGAAGCTGTGTTTACCTTTGCCCATTTCATCAGTTTTGGTTTTTCTCCTCTTTTCTTCAATTCCTTCAGTCCAACCCAGTTGACTCTTGCCTCCTCCTCCCCCCACCCCCCAAGCTTTGCACAGGGCTCGGCTGCCGATGGGCTGGAAATCCGCACACATGGGACCGGCACTGCATCTGCTGGGCCTTTGTGCTTGATTGATTTCTGTTGCTTTACACCTGTGCTCTCGAGCGAGCGGAACTCAAGTCAGTGCCACTGTCGCGGAGGGGCTGAGGTTCTGAAAGGCCCAAGCAGCCCTCCAAAGAGCCCCCCGGATGAGAGCATTAACAATCTTCTAATCAAACTTCATTTTTTAATCTCAAGGGTTGATTCACTTGATAGCAGTAATCAGCACTCTCTTGGAGAAATATAGAAAGAGCACAATGAGGCATTCACATTTTTCATTTTTTATTAAAAATCTCTTACATCTGCACCCGAACTTCTTTTATTTAAACCTGGTCTCACTTTATGAGGCCCTGAGTTCGTTAACCTATCCCGGGTCACGTGGCTTCTCTGGAGGACAGAGCATGGATCTGGAGTAGAGGCTCAGGGTTGAAATGCAGAAGAGACTGACCTTTGCCAATAGATGTATCCATCCTGTACACAGATCGCAAATTCCCTTGTGTGCAAAATGAGGGTCAGCATGTCTAGCGTGTCTATCTTTATTTTCTTTGCAGCGATTGAGGAAGAATCGTGTACATGTGTGTGTATGTGCGTGTGCCCATGCAGAGCTGCTAGGCCTGTTTGCAGATTGTTGGACACGTCACTTCTCCTCATTTCTTTCTTCCTCTCTTCCATCAGCTGACTCACCAGAATTAAAAGGAGTTAAGCTGAATGAGAATGAGTAGAGGCCAGTCTGGGATGCACACCTAGGTTATAAAACATGGCTCTTCACTATTAGCAGGAGTCAGAATCACCGGGGCAGCTTATTACCAATACAGATGCCCGTGTCCTGCCAACAGAGTCTGATCCAGGGGGCCTAGGATGTGACTCGAGAATCCACATTTTAATCAGCTTCACAGGTGATTCTGATGCAAGAGGTCAGAGACTAGATATTGAGAATCCCTGTTAGAGAATTGCTGGGCAGGGGGCCTAGCACTGTGTTCACCTCACATCCTTGGTTTAAGGACAAAGTCAAGGACATCTTAGGTTAATGAGTTGGTGAGAGTGGAACTACACGCCAGTAATGGGATTTTCCCGTTTGTGCCATGTACAGGAGAACAGACCGATAGAAGTGAGTTTGCTTTGACATAGGATGGGTTGTTTGTTTGTTTGTTTGTTTGTTTTAAGATATTATTTATTTGAGAGAGAAAGCATGTGTGTGAGGGAGAGAGAGCACAAGCGGGGAGAGCTGTAGGCAGAGGCAGAGGGAGAAGCAGACTAGCAGACTCCGGGCTGAGCAGGGAGCCCAGGACCCTGGGATCACAGCCTGAGTCAAAGGCAGATGCTCAACCACTGAGCCACCCAGTGCCCCCACAGGATGGGTTTAAATTAGATACAAGGAAGAGCTGTCAAGCAAGAGAAGTACTGAGGAAGCCTACAGCATCTTCTTCCCAGAAGGCTTTCAGACTCTCAGCAGGTGTGGACACCTGAGGTGCAATGTGGAGGCCTAGAGAAAGGACGGAAAGGTCTTCAGAACAATTTCTGGTGACATTTGCATGGAGGGCCAGAGACCCTTCTTGTAGTTCTTTGGCACCTGAATTTTAACCTTGGCAGCAACATAAGCGGCCAGTGGTCCAGGAAGCGCGAGGTCCAGTCCCAGCTCGGACAAGGATAGGCTCTGTGACATTGGGGCCACCTGTTCAGTTTCTTGGTTGTGTTAGATTGTTTCTCAGTTCCATGGTTGCATCTTCTTTTCCTTTCCCCGTAACTCCCCCCACAACGGCTCTTCTACAACCTCTCAACGCTGTCAAGTTCCGTTGACTGAGCAAATTAAGAAGATGAATTTAGAAACTACTTAATGCTGAGAATCCAGCAACCTATGTGCCACTCCATGCACACACACCCCCGCTCTTGGGGTTTTGAGTCTGTCTCTTGAAGAGTCCCTAGTGATCCCCTCTGCTTTTTGTGCTTATTGATGTATTTAGAGGGGTCTGACCTTACATGTGCCTGAGTTACAGCTTCAGTACCCATGTCCCCTCATGAGTGATTGTTTGGACCTGAGATGGATCGTGATGACCTAGAGTCACTCCCCACGCAGAGAAGCCGGACCAGAGTGACATCTCCCCAGTAGTGACAACGTCTGGCCACAAGTCCCTCTACCTGCATCTCACCTGGCCACCCCACTGATGGGCTCTCTCTGTCCCTTTCAGAAAGCAGACCTGGCCGTGGCAGGCCTCACCATTACTGCTGAGCGGGAGAAGGTGATTGATTTCTCCAAGCCATTCATGACTCTGGGAATTAGCATTCTTTACCGAGTTCATATGGTAAGAGACTTATTTTATAAGCATTTATGTCATTAAAGTTATTTGCATGCAAACACTGAGTTATATGGTAATAATGAATGACTCACGGAAATATTTAGATTTCAAGACTTAAATGCAAATGAGCCAGGCTATTTTTTCCCCCATCAGCTGCGCGGACTTGCAAACAAGAAGAATGGAAAAGTCACACTTCTGGGCTTTCCAGTAAAAATTGCTTCTGCCTCACTGAATAGGGATGGTCAAGAGCTCAACCCCTGGTGCGTAGTGTGGTGGTGAGTGGCCCTCTTGGTCACTCTGCTTCCTCCTAGGGACAGGATCCCCAGTCCAGATAGGTCACCCCAGCATTTTCAAGGGCTTTGCTGACTTCTGGATGCACCTCTGTTCACTCCAAGCATTGCATCTAGTGAGGGAATGCAGACTCCTTCCTCTCTGGGTTACCCATACTGGTGAAGAAATAATGTCACTTATATCTGGCCTGTCTCCTTTTCTGCATCCTTAAAATAAAAGAGAGAGAGAGAGAGAAAGACTTCTCTGGTTAGGTTGGCTAGAGTGAGTGTCTAAGTGAGTTTGTGAAGGCACACCAATGGGCAGTAGAGGATGGACCTGATGATACACTGGCTGTTAGGGGGGAACGTCAGGAGGGGAACGCTGGCTGTGCCTCATTCACAAAGTGGATAATAGGTGTGCTGCCAGCACGTAGTTGACTGTCTGTGATTTTCCTTACTGAACCAGAAGGGCCTTCTTCTCATCCTTTTACCAAACTGATTCTAAGTGCACAGCTATTATATGGATTTTCCCAATGCTTAGGTCACCCTAGGTGTCCAAGGTCACACTAACATAGTGTTTTCCAGGATGTTACCTGGTTCCACAAGGCTGCCTAACAGGGAAGGAATCAAGAACTCATCCCACGGGCCTGCTGAGGAAGTGACCCTCTACTTCTGACCCCTTCCCAGGCCCTAAATCCCAGCCCCAGAGAAAGGGTGTTGTCTGTATTCACAGTCCCAGTCTGGGCTCACGTAGCAGGGTGCTAGGGCATCAGGAACTGTGGCCCATTCCTGAAAGAGGGAAGGTCCCCTTGTCATGGAGCCTGTTCCAGCAGCTCAGAGAGGCGCTGTCCTGTGCCGGAGCTCAGTATCCATCAGGATCACTGCCTGGCTTGGAAAAGGAGGTCACATCATCTAGAAGAAAAGCATGGAAATCCCAAGCTCCCCAGGCTAAAACAGAAAGCAATGTGAAGATTTGGTCATCATGACCAAATGACACGCTGTCATTGTTGTGTCCATCTTGTGAAGTAAGGGGGATAGTGAGTGATTCCCCCACTCCTCTTTATCACCATGATGAAAACTCCCGTTCATTGAGAGCCTCCTATGTGCCAGATGCTCTTTCAGGCACCTGTGATGATGTGGACTATTCCTAAGGGTTGAATTGGCCCCTCAAAAGACATGATGAAGTTCTAAAGCCCCAGGACCTGTGAACGTGACTGTATTTGGAAATAGGGTCTTTGCAGATATAATCCAGCTGAGGTCATACTGGAGTAGGGTAGGCCCTAATCCAATAGCTGATGTCTTTATAAAAAGATGGATGTAGACACGGGGAGAAGACCATGGGAATTTGGAGACAGATTGGAATGGTGTAGCTACAAGCCAAGAAGTGCCAAGGCTTGCCAGCAACCACCAGAAGCTAGAAGTGACAGGAGGGATCCTCCCTTAAAGCCTTCAGAGGAAGCATGGCCCTGCTGACACCTGGATTTTTAATCCTAGCCTCCAAACTATGAGACAGTATGATCCTGTTGTTTTAAGCCACCCAGTTTGTGGTATTTTGTTATAGCAGCCTGGGACACTGATGCACTTGTGTTGTTCTTGTAAGTAAGTGAAAGAGCAGAGTTCAAAGCCGGGAATGGTGTGACTGGAGCATGTGCTCTCTCTGTGACACCAGGTTGCCCCCCTCATTTGTGTGATCATTGGGTAACTTGTCCTGGAAAGCATTCGTATGTACCTTTTCTCATTTGGTCCTTAGGACTGTTCTTTGAGAAGAGGGAGGGTATTATAATTCTCATCTGACAGGTAAGGAAACTAAAGTTACACTTGGAACCAATACAGGGCTGAGCCTGGAAGCCAGGTATCCTCACTCTTAGGACAAGTGTTCTTGTCATCCTTACGCCCGTCTGTGCTCCTTAGGTGATTTTCTAGCCAGCACTTGAGCCCACCTCACCCCACTCCTGCAACTGAGCCCTGAGGCAGCATCCCAAAGAAATAGGGACATAGAACCTTTTTCCAAACTATGTCGCTATGGCCAGGCTGTACAACTAGGTTATGGCCTTGATTTATTGATTTTTTTATTGGAGTTCAATTTGCCAACATATAGCATAACACCTGATTTATTGATTAATGCCAAGGACACTAGAGCCCCACTCATGACCTGATGGACCATGAGGCATCATGTAACTGAGGGCACCTGATCCCAAGTGTTTCTACTCACTGCCTGGGAACATCTACTGCTAGGCTACCCTCACCACCCAGGACACCACTGGCCGGAATATCAATCAACTCGGGCCAGAACCAAACTCCCATTCACCAATCCTCTGGACATCCTTCATTGGATTGCTGGCCAGATGTTACCTACCACCACAAACCTATGACTGTATTAGTTCTTGGGATGTGAAGTTTTATGTATCAGCTTGCCGAAGCTATGGGACCCAGATGTTTGGTCAATTGCTAGCCTAAATAGTCTGTGAAAGTATTCTGTAGATGTGATTAACAGTGATGATCAGTTGACTTCAAGTAAAGGAGATTACCCTTGATAATGTGGGTGGGCCTCATCCAATCGGTTGAAGGCCTTAAGTGCAAAAACTGGTTTCCTGGAGCAGAAGAAATTGTGCCTCAAGACTATCACTTAAGAAATCCTGCCTGAGTTTCCAGCTTGCTTATAGCCTTGCTTTTGGCCTTACTGCTCCCACAATGGCATGAGCCAATCCCTTCAAGTAAATCTGTTTACACACACACACACACACACACTCACACACACACACACACACACACATATCCTACGAGTTCTGTCTCTCTGGAGAATCCTAACTCATATGATTCCCCTTTCTGGTCAGGATTCCTCCCCTCTTCCAGCCTCCACACTGAGGCACTAGCATGCCACATGGCTGCTCAGATCTGATTTATAACAGGGGGCCAAGCTGAGTAAAAATTGAGTGCTGGCATGAACAGCTTACAGTAAGCAGAACTGACAGTTTATGCATTTATTCAACAAATATTTATTGAGTGCATTCTGTGTGTGAGGCAGTATGCTTAGAAAGTACGAAAAAGTCAGCTGGAGAGAGAACAATCTTGAATCAATGAAACTGGGGGAGACCTGGAGAAAATAGGTTTGAGGTGAACATTGCCCTCTCTAAAATGTCTGTACCGAGTTGACAGAAACAGCTAATGCCAGAGGATGGCCCAGCGGTGTTCACCACAAAAGCCTTGGTCTAAAATTACATAGAGAAGCTATCTCTGATACAGTCGTGTTACGTTAACAAAATTAAAGCTGAGTCCTGGGTGTTTATTATTTTGTGAATTTTTCTCAAGTTGATAGTTTGATCTGTGAACAAAAATATGATTAATTTCATTTCGTTTATAATCTATAATAGACCTAGAATCCGTATCTTAATTCTATATCTGAGGTCACCGGAGTCATGAGTGATTATGATCACAATGTGAGCATCTGGTGATAATGAAGCCTGTGCGCAAAGGTTAAAATAATTAACCCAAAGTATAATTACCTAATTTGAAAATACTGCAAAACCCCCCTGAAATAGTAAGGGGAGGTGGGTATGTGCCTGAAGTCTAGAGACCATCAGAAATGATGTGTGAATTTCCAGTAGTCTGGGATTACCTAGGGGTTTTCATAACCGTGAGATCACCAGGACATGATGATGTAGTGTTTTCCTTCTTCTCTGGGGGTATAATCTCTGTTTCCACTCAGGCATCTCTAGGACCAAAATCAGAAGACTGTTTCGCTCTTTGGGCTACCTACACGCTGCCTTGTAGAAGCTGGCTGAGAATTCTGGCTTTGGCATTTGCTACCGTTGATCCCTCCCACTTTCTAAAACTCTCTCGGTTCCTGGGGTCCAGGTCACTGTTTCTTCCGCTCTGATTGTTGCCCCTCCAGCATTTCTGTTGACCCGTCTCTCTCTCTCTCTCTCTGCCTGCCCCGTGAATGACCCAAGCCCATTTCCCTTCTCTCTCTCTGACAGCTGTCTGCCTGGGTAATCTCACCCACTGCCAAATCTGTAAATCCAACCCTGGCCACTCCCCCTGAATTCTAGAAGCGTATTTATAACAGGTGACTAGACATCACCAGGCTATCTCATGGGCGCCTCAAATACAGTGTCACAAACTGTATCAGCAAAGTCCTTCCTCCTCTCTTCTGCTCCACTCACGTGATGGCATCTCCATCCAGTCACCTGAGCAGCCCTTCACTTCTCTTACCCCACATGTCTAGTTGGTCAGCTCACTTCCTAAATCATTCTCAAGCATGCTCTCCACCCCCACTGGATCTACCTTGGTTCAGGCTCTCCTTATCTCTGCCCTGAACTGCTGCCATTCTGATTGCCTGTATCCTCCTCGAGGTCAGGGTGTTTTTCATCCAGTACTGTATCCCCATTAAAGGGCCACAGCCATTGCTAGCATTCACTAAGAAGCAGTAGAGAGAAAATTCTGGAGCCAGACCTGACACATACTTGCTGCATGTCCCCCATGTCTCAGTTTTCTCATCTGTGACAAGAGGTTGTCATGCAAATTTAATGAGGATCCATAAATACATAAGTAATGCACTTACAACAGTGCCTGACCTATGCACAATAAAGCATTAGGTTTTATATTTTGTAAATGTATGCAACTTGCTGAGAATTAAAGTTTTTTAGTTTACTGTCACCTTTTTTTTTTTTTTTTACAAATGGAATCACATCAGGCTCCTACTTAAAAATCACTTGCTGCCTATCACTTACAAGACCA